CTGGGATTACAGGCACGCACCACCATGCCCAGCTAATGTTTTGTATTTTTAGTAGAGACGGGGTTTCACCATGTTGACCAGGATGGTCTCGATCTCTTGACCTCGTGATCCACCCGCCTCGGCCTCCCAAAGTGCTGGGATTACAGGCTTGAGCCACCGCGCGCGGCATAATTTTTGTGTTTTTAGTATAGATGGGGTTTCATTAGGTTGGCCAGGCTGGTCTCGAACTCCTGACCTCAGGTGATCCACTCACCCCAGCCTCCCAAAGTGCTGGGATTACAGGCGTGAGCTACTGAGCCTGGCTTGTCATTTATTTATTTCTTATTTTCTAGCTCCTTCCACGGAAACATAAGCTCTGAGACACAGTGAGCTTGAATCTGTTCATCTAAAGAAGGCTTGGAGACCTCATCATTACCGCGGAACGCACGCGTCAATGAGTCAATGAATGAGGTGCCCGTGCGGCCGCGTCCAGCCACACCTCCCATCGTGCTCTTGAAACCGTTCTTCTCTCGGCGGTGGGATCTCAGCCTGTGAGCCGTCACCCCAAGTCCCCTTCCTGGTCTAGCGACCCCTGGGTCGGGGCCGGGGCCTACAGACAGGGTTCTGGACCTGATATTGACAGTCTTCTCACCTGGACCAGAATCAGAAGGCTGGGCCCCCACGCCACGGCCTTACTGCCGCTCAGCGGCTTGGGTGGGCTTTTCTGCCTCTGGGTCCACGTTTCCTGCTCTGTGAAATAGGCGAAGTCAGGGCCTCCTTCCCCAGGCTGTGGGGGTGAGCAGCGGGGGTCAGGCCAAGGTCAGGGGGAAGGTGGTGGGTGCTCTTGGGCGTTCCCCAGGCCACATGGACATCAGCCCAGGGATGCAGCCTGGGAGGAGCTGCTGGGGGACATTTGTCCTGGCTTGACATTCCAGAGAGGCCGATCTCAATTTTAGACTTTTGACATTTACTTCAAATGAAGTTTTTACCCATGGGAAAGCAGACCCACAGACAGGAGGGGCCCTGAGTGCCACTGGGAGGGTCTAAATAGACCTCAACTCTGTTTTTTTTTTTTTTTTTGAGGCAGGGTTTCCCTTTGTCCCCAGGCTGGTCTGAAACCCCTGAGGTGAAGCAATCTGCCCCCCTTGGCCTCCCAAAGTGCTGGGATTACAGGTGTGACCACCGTGCCCGACCAAGTCCACTCTTTTTTTTTCTACGCTTGCCTACATGCAGACAGTCCGCTCCTAATACGGTGTGTCGGAGGGCATTGGCGCGATGTCTCCGAGGAGCAGTTTGGAGACGCAGCCCAACACCCACGCACACGGACCTCCGCGCGCTCCGGGGCCTGTCCTGTGGTTTTATGTATACTTTTTTCTCTTTTTTTCATCTTCTTCTGGATTTATATTTTTATTTATTTTTTTGAGACAGAGTCTTGCTCTTTTGCCCAGGCTGGAGTGCAGTGGTGTGATCTCGGCTCACTGCAACCTCCATCTCCCAGGTTCAAGCAATTCTCCTGCCTCAGCCTCCCGAGTAGCTGAGATTACAGGTGCCCACCACCACACCCGGCTAATTTTTGTATTTTTAGAAGAGATGGGGTTTACCATGTTGGACAGGCTGGTCTCAAACTTCTGACCTCAGGGGATCCACCCTCCTCGACCTCCCAGAGTGCTGGGGAGATGGCGTGAGCCACGGCGCCGCCTGTCCTGTGGATGTAGACACACACGTCAACATCAAATATGTACAGCAATTGCAGCATTTTTTATTGTGATAAAATAAAATATAAAATTGATCATCTTAACCAGTAATTTTTAAATTTTTCATTATTTATTTTTATTTTTTTATTCAGTCCCCATAGAGACTGCCAAAAATTGCCAATGCCGACTATATTTCAAGTCGCCATGGCAGGGTATTGAAAAAGCTTTTAATTAGCAATAATCCCGCCTCAGATAAACTTCATTGGCTACGATGCTGCCACTGTGCAAAGCTTAACCAGTTATTTATTTATTTTTTATTTTTATTTATTTTATTTATTTATTTTTTGCCCCCTAGTTTGCATCCATTTCCTGACAGCTTAACCAGTTATTTTAGACACAGGGTCTCACTTGGTCCCTCAGGCTGGAGTGCAGGTAGGATCACAGGTCCCCGCAGCCTCCGGCTCCCGCACTCAAGAGATCCTGCCGCCTCAGCCTCCCGAGTAGCTGGAAGTACACATGTGAGCCAACGTTAACCATGGCTAATTAAAAACAATTTTTTTTTGTAGAGATGGGGTCTTACTGTGTTGACCAGGCTGGTCTTGAACTCCTGGCCGCAAGTAATCTTTCCCCCTTAGCTTCCAAAAGTGCGTGAATGTTTAGTTTTTTGATACAGGAGTTTTTGTAGTAAGAGAAGATTGGCAACAGCTTAATAAAAACCCATTTGGGGAAACTGACTAAATAAAGTGTGATGTACCCATCCCTGGGGTACTACACAGCTGTTAACAAGGAGACAGCTTTTTATATGCAGATCTGGAAAGAGCTTGAATATAAATTGCTAGACTTTAAAACCGTGGCCAGGCCCAGTGGCTCACATCTGTAACTCCAGCACTTTGGGAGGCCAGTACAGGAGGATCGCTTGAGCCCAGGAGTTCAAAATCATCCGGGACTCCATCTCTACAAATAATTAAACAAATTAGCCTGGTGTGTTGGCCCCTGTGGTCCCAGCTACTTGGGAGGTTGAGGCAGGAGGATCGCCTGAGCCTGGGAGGTTGAGACTGCAGTGAGCTATGATCACACCACTGTATTCCAGTCTGAGTGACAGAGTAAGACCCTATCTCAAAAAAAAAGAAAAAAATGTCAACTTATGATGTTCATAGCGGTACTGTTCATAATAGTAAAACGCTAGAAAAGAGGCTGGCATGGGGATGGCCACCTGTCATCCCAGCACCTTGACAGGCTGAGGTGGGAGGATTGTTTGGACCCAGCAGTTTGAGAACCGCTGCACTCCAGCCTGGGCAACAGAGTGAGATCCTGTCTCAAAAAAAAGACTATAAAGAATCCAAACCTCAGTCATAATATATTTTTCTGCAATGGAATGTTATACAGCAGCAAAAAAAAAAATGCATGGGCCAGGTGTGGCAGCTCAGGCCTGTAATCCCAGCGCTTTGGGAGGCCCAGGACGGTGGATCACTTGAGGTCAGGAGTTCGAGACCAGCCTGGCCAACATGATCAAACCCCACCTCTACTAAAAATACAAAAAAAAAATTTAGCCGGTGCGGTGGTGTGTGCCTGTAGTCCCAGCTACTCGGGAGGCTGAGGCAGGAGAATCGCTTGAACCTGGTAGGCAGAGGTTGCAGTGAGCCAAGATTGCGCCACAGCACTCCAGCCTGGTGACAGGGCGAGACTCCATTAAAAAAAAAAAAAAAAAAGCAAGCATGGCTGATAGCTGCTTCCTAGGCGATGCAGTGCTGAGTGGGGAAGTGAACCCAGGAGATGACATCAGGTGTGACGTCCTCTTTACAAAGTTAAAAACAATTTAAGGCCAGGCGCGGTGGCTCACGCCTGTGATCCCAGCACTTTGGGAGGCCAAGGCGGGTGGATCATGAGGTCAATTGATAGAGACCATCCTGGTCAACAAGGAGAAACCCCGTCTCTACTAAAAATACAAAAATTAGCTGGGCATGGTGGCGCACGCCTGTAATCCCAGCTACTCGGGAGGCTGAGGCAGGAGAATTGACTGAACCCAGGAGGTGGAGGTTGCGGTGAGCCGAGATCGCGCCATTGCACTCCAGCCTGGGTAACAAGAGCGAAACTCCGTCTCAGAAAAAAAAAACAATTTAAAACTAAACACAACACTGTGATGCACCTGTGATAGATGCGCGTGGCATGTCTCCAGGGCTGAAACTTCAACACGGGAAGGCAAGGGATGGCAGCACAGAACTCGGACCGTGGCCGCCTGGGGAGGGGTGGAGGGTGTAGACGGCACCGGGCAGCTGGCAGCCTTGGTTAACGTGGAGTGAGCTGCGGAACCCACGGATTTCCACCATCCTACAAATCAAACAGGACCAGGTAGCAGGGCGGTGGCTCACGCCTGTACTCCCAGCACTTTGGGAGGCCGAGGCGGGCGGATCATCTGAGGTCGGAAGTTCAAGACCAGCCTGACAAACATGGAGAAACCCTGTCTCTACTAAAACACAAAATTAGCTGGGGTGGTGGTGCATGCTTGTAATCCCAGCTACTCAGGAGGCCGAGGCAGGAGAATTGCTTGAACCCGGGAGGCGGAGGTTGTGGTGAGCTGAGATTACACCACTGCACTCCAGCCTGGGCAACAAGAGTGCACCTCCATCTCAAACAAAACAAAACAAAAACACAAGGATTTGGAGGAGGGGCAGGGGATCCGGCTGTGGGCTCTGAGCCGGGAGGCCTCACTCACGCACTGCTAGGGGCACACAGAGTGCAGCAGAGCCCGCCTCACGCAGAAGCGGGGCTGGGGGAGCTGGCATGTGAGCCTGGCAGAGCTGGGGCTCCTGGCAGTGGCCCTCACCTCCCTTGGCACCACCCCTGCAGGGACCTGGGGTGTGGTGCAGCCTTGGGGAAGGGTGCAGTGACAGATTCCAGCCTTCTGAGGTGGGGAGGGGACTCCTCACTGGGGTCGGGGTGAGGCCGAGTCTGGGTGGCCACACCCAGCGCACCTGCTCTTCACAGCTGTGGGCATCGCCAGCCCCTTCCCTGGGCTCCACTCACACCACAGTCCTCCTGATGCAATGGGCCCATGGCATCAGGATGCATCCAGCCTTCCCGCTGCTGGGCCAGTGGAATCTGCCTTTGCTGCAGGAGCCAGCGTGCCCACAGCGCCCTGTGGTGGGTGTGGGTGCCCTGGGCTGCAGCTCTGAGCCTGTTGTGGCCCTGCTGAGGGTCAGACACACGGACCTGGACCTGAGTGGGGAGCATTCTCGGGTGCTCCCTAGCACATGCACACAGCCACCAGGCAGGGGACAGGCCTGCAGGGGGCTGAGTGGCCTCAGCTCCTGGAGACACTGGAAGCCGTGCAGAGCCTGAGGTCAGTGCCCCACTGTCCGGAGGGTGGAGGATCTGACACCACAAAGACTCAGAGCAGGGCCTGCAGCTGGACCAGCAAGCGACTAAGACGCAGCCCCACCAGCCACAGGCCTGGGCAGGCCCCTGTCCATGCCCTCGTTCAGCACCCCTGATGGAGCTGCCTATTTTTTTTTTTTTT